CCCCCCTCCCTCACCAATGCCCGCGGCCACGGCCCGCACCGCCCTCTCCTTCCCGATGGAGTAGGTGCCGACGTAGAAGACGGTGGAGGGACGCTCGGCCTTTTCGCGCTCGGCGATGCGGCTGAGAGCTGCTAGGACGGACGGCTGGGAGGGAAAGGTGTACTGGAGGGAGGGAGGGAGGGCAGAAGGGAAGGGGGTGGAGGGAAGCGCGCATTGGGTTAAGGAGCAAAATCGATGCAGACTGCGAGTGTCGTGGCAAGTAGGTGGAGGAGGGGATCGATTGGGAGGGAGGGAAGGACGGATCGTTGGAAAAAGAGGGGTACCTTGGCATTGCAGTAGGTGGTGTCCAGGTAGAGGGTGCACACACGCAGGTCCCGGTCCCGGATCCAGGACGCCGTCCTCTCGGTCAACGCCTCGCTTGCCCGAAAATCGCCGGTGTGGAGGATGGTAGATTTGGCTGAAGGAGATGGGAGGGCGGAGAGCAAAACAAGGGAGGGAGGGAGGGAGAGAAGACGCGGGAGAGACACCGTGGATATCTAAAGCGCGTGCATTTTTTCTTGTTGCACGTTTGCAGTGGCGACTTGCAGCATCGCTTCTTCCCCCCATCCCAATCTCCGTACTTTTCTTGTTGTGAAAGAGCAGCATGACCGCCCCTGGACAGTGATTAGCATCTAAGAGCGTGACCTCTACGCCCTGGGGAGGGAAGGAAGGGAGGAGTGAGTGAGAGAGAAAGGGAGTGAAGGGGGACAACCCCCCGGGAATATCGGGTGGATGGGTGGGAAGGTTAGGGTGGAGGGACGGAGAGTGGACGAAGCCGGAGAAGGGAGGTAGTCAGAGTCACCTGAATGGTAGTGGGCTTCTCAAGGGGGAGGGTGTGGACGAATTGAGGCTTGACCCCGAGCTTGCCGACGAGGAGGGCGCCGGTCACGTCGCTGCAGTAGATAGTGCCTTTGAAAACGGCGAGGACACAGGGAGGGAGGAAGCAGGGTCAAACAAAGACGACGTAGGGATAAACTGCCACAAAACTTTCTCCTTACTGCGGCCTGCCGGCTCACTTGCGAGAATTTGGGTGCATTGGCGAGAAAAAGCACTGCACTTGGTATCGAACTTGGGTGCACCCCCACGCCAGCCATGCTCCCCCCCGCCAGTACAAATTTATCCGGCCCTCCCCTCTTCGCCCTGTCTTCCTTGGCCATCTAAATTACCGTCTCTACGTACCGTGGCAGAACGAGGGTCGGAGGCCCCAGTAGTGGTCGCTGTGGAAGTGGGTGAGAAAGTAGGCCGAGCACTTGGGAGAGAGGAAGTTAAAGCCGTCGACAAGGAATGACGTGCCCTGCGGGAAGCGTAGGGATTAAGTAAGGCGAGAGAGAGAAGGAAGAGATAGTGAGAGGAATGAAAGGGGGCTTTGGAAGGCGTGCTGTAGGGAGGAGAGATGAGAGGGTAGCGTGTGATGAGGTAGAAAGGAGCTGTGGAAAGGGAGAACAGCAGACACGTCACGCTTATTTTCATCATCAAAAATACCTCAATCCATTTAATACGCTCGACTTGCGAAGCCATGAATGACCACTTGAACTACTGCCAGCTTTCGAACGGCAAGGGATACAGCATTGTTCCTGCCCTGCTCTGTGGCTTTTCTCAAGACAGAGAGTTAAAAGAGGTGAGTATCTTAAGCGATGATAAACACCAGCAACTGCGCACATGCCGACTTCTCAACCATCGCAATGTGTCCACACGACCCAACGATGAAAGACGGGCTTGAGTAACTACCCCTCTGTTTGACCAGGCTGCATGCCCCTGGAGACACTCGCCCACCTCGCTGCACGCGAGGTATTTGAAGACGATATAGGACTCAGTGCCCCCACTCCGCCGCTGCGCGAGGAGGATATTCTTGGAACCCACTGGATTCCCTGCCCGCTGTCAACTCCATGCCCCTCGACCGCGCTGAGCACGTACAAAATGAGGTAGAGCGGGTCATATATGATAAATTGGCGGGTGGTGCGCGATGTTGGGGAAAGTTTTGGAGGAGTGTGACGTGCCGGTCCCCTTATCTTCTCGAGCCGACGCAGGCTGAAGGGGCATATGCTTCTTTGCTCTTCCCGAGCAAAAAGTCCCTTTTTGAACTCAACTTTCTTGTTCAGAGGATGCAGGGGATACAAGCACTAGCATGTAACGAAAGTTTGCCGTGATTCCATGATTTATACCCTGTTTGGGCGTTTCTATCGTCCTTTGCCGCTGGTAACGTGCAAATCATTTAATCACTCCTCGTCTTCTCTCTCAGCGTTTCCTCTTTCTCGCACCAGGGAACGAGATTAGAGCTGCTACTGATACCCGTTAGCCATGAGCTATTGGTGAAGCTCCAACCATATCCTGCTCCGCTTTCTCCTTGTGTCCTGGTTGCCAAAAGGGACGAGTTAAGCGGGTAATTAGCCCAAGAGGTATGCGCTCACTTCCTAAATCTCCTTTCTCTGTGTGTGTCTTCTTGTAATGATAGGATGAACACCCACTAAAGTTCCCATCTTTCCCACTTGATAGCATATATGGTCCCGCCCT